TGATGGGTTGTCATATACGACTTAAGATAGAGATTTTTCGAGCTTTCAGGACCAAAGGATTTGGTAAGGATGACGGGTGGAAGAGGATAAGGGATAAGGATGGAAATTCAGGAAAAAGGATGAGGGTGAAGTATGAGTGGGATGGAAGGTGTAAGGACCTATCCACTTGGGCTTTGACATAAGATCAGAACATCTTAATTTTGCTGTGAAAACATCGCTTTTTGTCAGGTATATTATGAGAAGTAGAATAGATTTTCATTTGGCAAAGCAAATATTAATATATATATATATATTAATATATATATATATATATATATATATATATATATATATATATATATATATATATATATATATATATATATATCCCATTCAAAGTTACAAATCAACATATTTACAGCCCCATTTAGGGTCCAGCGGAAGGACAATCGGCTTCGTTCTTGACTCACAATCGGGAATTTCGGGTTCGAATCCCGGGCGGTACAAAAATGATTGGAGGAGGGGGGGGGGGAGGGGTGACTTTTCCTATCACGTCATGCACCTGTTCACCTTTGCAGTAAATAGGTATCTACTAGTTAACGAGCTTGTTGAGAGGTTACATTATGGGAAGGGTCAATAATTCGACGATGGGGGGAGGAGGGGGACTACGATATAAGCCTAGCACATATATATATATATACACACTGGCTGCCTGTCCCCCGACACAATGAATTATTAATTGAATTGAAGGAGTGACAGCCTAAGATATCCAACAGTGGTGTATGGTAATTTTCAACAACCCATCCTCCTCTTTAGATAGTACTTATTGTAACTATGTGACTATTAGTAACTATTGTACTATTGTAACTATGTGCCTCATCGTACATATATAGACGTAATGGCCAGCTAGAAAGTAGAATTTTGAACCATTCACTTTATAGTCCTAAAAGGTAAAGCTAAGAGCCAAACTTCAACATTCCTAGGCCTAGTATAGTATATATATGTACTATATTAGGCCTCAGAGAGCGTGTATTAGGCCTAGCAAGGATAGGTTAGCTTAAAACAAAAATTGCAGCAATAGTTCACACACTTTTCCAGTTTGTCCAAATTCAATAGTACCGATTTCTACTTTCTAATTGCCTATTTACTGTTACCTAGCAGTAAATAGGTACCTGGGAGTTAGTCAGCTGTCACGGGCTGCTTCCTGTGGGGTGGAGGCCTGGTCGAGGACCGGGGGGACACTAAAGCCCCGAAATCAACTCAAGATAACCTCAAGATAACCCTTTTTTACGTCAATATAAGTACATCGGTCCTCATCGTTTCTGTAAATACTGCCTAAACAGGTTGGGCTGGAATTCAACATACATCACGCACTATTCGCACGCCAACGGGGTGAGAATAGCTTGAGCCACCTCATCCCTTTGTGCGTAATTTATCTCAATAAACTTATTTCAATTTCAATTACGCACGCCAACGCATCACCCTGGAGCCAAGCACACTAACATATGCTAAACACCACACAAACAGTCTATAGGATCACACTAGTAGGCATCCTTCAGTCTCTTTGAGACTATGGAGTTGCGCTCTGGTTGTCAATCTCTCCAGGGCGCAAAGACTGGGTAGTTAGATATGGAGGAAAAGCTGTTACCCATGCAGCAGGTCCCCCCCCCCCTCTCCACGATAGGATCACAAGCACGCGATGAACAAGCCTTGATAACCTCATTCTCCACGAGACAAAATTAACGAGGGAATAGACTAGAGAGGGAATTAGGAGACCCCCCCCAAGCCTATATAAGACTGAGACTTAGGGAGATACTATTTAGCACTGGGAAGGGATCAGGATAAGGATTTGTGATGGAACGGGAGTGAAGGAATAGTGCCCAACCACTTAGGGACGGACGGGGATTGAACGCCGACCTGCATGAAGCGAGACCGTCGCTCTACCGTCCAGCCCAAGTGGTGGACAGGGAATAGACGAGACATTTGATATAATTCCTTCCTTCTCTCTGCTGTCCTGTGATATAAAGTTATAATTGGTCGTTAATGTGCGCAATTGGGATCGTAGGAACTGTTACAAAAATAAATAATTATAGTTATGTCACTGTCTGGGGGTGTGACAGTGTCACTCCCCGTCCCATAACCCTTCATAATGCTATCATTCCTCCCTCCCTCATCCTTTCCTGTTACCAATCCTCCATCTATCATCCTCCATGTTACCAATCCTCCACCTATCATCCTCCATGTTACTTTAAGATCATTGTATTTGGAAACGTGGGAAGGAACTATCAGTGGAAAGCGCCAGGTTATTACGACTATATTAAGTACTGGGAAAGGGGTCAGGATAAGGATTTGGGATATGGGACAGGCATGGGAGGGGCGGGGGGGAAGGAATGGTGCCCAACCACTTGGAAGGAATGGTTAATTTTTTGCCAACTCGAGTCGTCGAGACGAGTAGCCAAGCAGATATGGGGCGACGTAAGTTTTTTGGTGGTGGGTCGGAGCGTACGACCTTGGCCAGCTAAGGTCCCTTGCTGTCTCTCTCTCTCTCTGGACAGTGTTGGGAGCCACACCTAGTGTCACACACCACGGGTGTTAGGGTCCACACCTGGTGGCCACACGGTGCTAGGGGTCCACACCTGGTGGCCACACGGTGTTAGGGTCCACACCTGGGGGCCACACGGTGTTAGGGTCCACACCTGGGGGCCACACGGTGTTAGGATCCACACCTGGGGGCCACACGGGGCTAGGGTCCAAACCTGGGGGTCACACCGTGTTAGGTCTACCTCACGACACTCGGCCACCAGCCTTCTTCCCTTTCTCTACTTGACCTAAACCTATATACTAACACAACAACGTTTTTCTCCTCGCTGATAAATAACAGAACAAATATGGCAGCCAACTTGGCTTAGTGTCGGCCTTAATAAACATAAATATTAGCCATATCTACTTCAGACTTGATCATAATTCAAACTGAAAGTATACACACAGTGATCATACACCCTATACGTGGAACGAACACCTCTGGTGTGTCCGTATTCCTGCTTGAGTGGCAACGGACGTCGGAACACTACAATGCAGTTGCCGGGGGAAGTGATGCGTCGACATTTGCCATTAGAGTCTAGTGGGCAGTGACCCAGAGCATGCGTGGTGGTGGTGTCAGAGTCCGGACTGTGATGCAAGACTTGCGTCACCTGCGTCACTGGTCGTCCAGGCCACACACACACTCATACAGACAAGTGATGATGCGCGCGGACCGCAGAATGACTCTTCCAAAGCCAGGGTTTAATATTGTGAAGCAATAGGCTTTGGAGGATGGGGTTTTTGGGGGTCGTATAGGCAACTGCGAAGGAGCTCCGGGCGTGTAAGCTTAACACGCGGGAATATAGCCCTTATAACGTTCACGGTAACGACCCCTTAACGTAACCGTGACGACCCTACGCGTCACGATAGCAACCACTAACGTCACCGAGATAACCCTTAACCCTTAAACCGCGCAATACATACATATACGATGGGAGTGAGGTAAGGACGGTAACGACCCTTCACACCTCGATAACGACCATTAGCATCACGATAAGAACCATTAACATCAGGATAATAACCATTACTCTATTAACGTGTTCCTATTTTTAAAGTAAATTTTAATTTAAAGTAAACATTCATTTAACTTAATTATCAAGTTAAACTTCTCGGCAAGATAACTGTAAGGTACAAAAAGTTAAGTTAGGTATTAAGATAAATTATGGTTCAAACTTCAAGTTAGCAATATATGTTGTTGATAATTGGTTTTTATTGGGCATCGTCTATGCTGGGATTTTGATTAGAATTGTCTAAATTATCGTTTACATGTCAACTATTTTGTTTACAAGTTGTCAAACTTAATTGCACGTTATTTTACTTATTGTTAATAAGGTGCTTACATTATTGTTTACAAGTTGTCTAAGTTACTGATTATAAGTAGTCTTATTTTTTTTTACAAATCGTCTAACTTATTATTTACAAATCGTCTGTTTACATGTCTGTTAAAGTTGTTGTTTTCAAGTAGTTCAATTTATTAGTTACAAGTTGTCTAACTTGTCGTTTACAAGTCATCTAAGTTATTGTTAACAAGTCATCTAAGTTATTGTTAACAAGTCGTCTAAGTTATTGTTTACAAGTCGTCTAAGTGCTAGCAATAATGAGTGCAGCGTGAGTGAGTGAGGTTAGTGAGTGGTGAGGTCTACAGTCTCGCTCACTCACTAAACAAACCACCACAGGGACAGTATTGTTCAGCGGGACTCATCCTGTGAGTAAACAACCCAACACAGCAGCATGTACAACGTCCTCCAATGGGAAAGCTTGTTCATCCTGTCACTCATACGTACCCAGAAGCAGCTGGGACTTACTCAACTCTTTCAAGTAAACAAATCTATCATACAAGTATTATACAACCGAGACAGCTGAGAGAACCTGTTATCAAACTGTGTATCTCTCAGGATACAAGGTCAGGTCGAGTGAGTGTGGTTTGGTAGCTCCTCTCGTCCTTGTAATTGTGCAAAACACTACTTTCACCGGTTGACCTTCAAGCGGGTGAGCCTAGTACTTGTGATTAATACTCTCAGTTAAATCAGTCATAAATAATGACCGTCAGTAAATAATAAATAGCAAAATAATACTCTCAGATAATAAAAAACTCAATGATAACAGACACAAGGCTCAGAAAGTACACACACTTGGAGTTTCTGCAATTTCTAAATGTATTAAGTGAATTTGAGATATTCCATAGATTGTAGGCTATTAAATATTTTTTTTATTCACAGGTGCAACCGTAGCCCCAGTGCAATTTTTTTTCATCCACTTCGGTGGATGAAAAACATAATTTACAATCATATGGTCATTGTCATGTGTTAAGAAACCTTTAGTGCCTCCTTAGATTGCTTAAAAATTATCCGGATATTGTTGAAAGGATATAGCATTTACCTCACAGTAAAGTATATTCAAGATCTAGTTTTTATGTATTTTTTATGTATTTTTTATGTATCATCACACATGTATTCTCCTTCCCAGATGAAGGTTGTGTTGCTTTTCGCCCTGGTCGGGCTGGCGGCTTGTCAATTCTTCGGGCGTCAACCTCAGTTCTCGAGCTTCAATAGGTTCCAAGGGTCTCGGGGCTTTGGTGGTCAAGGCTTCCGCGGTCAAGGCTTCCGTGGTCAAGGCTTCGGTGGTCAAGGCTTCGGTGGTCAAGGCTTTGGTGGTGTTCAGGTGAGTTAACCGTTGTTTACATCAACTTGTTGCTAATGTTAACAAACATCAAAAACCTACATCATTTAATGATCCAAATCAATAGTTAAATTTTGTGTCGCCATCCTCAGTTTTATCAGGTTGGAGATTCAGTCCAGGAAGCTCGTGAGGCATCTAAAGCAGTAACATTTAAGCAATTTATATATAACAATATATACATTATTCTATGTGTTAATTATTATCCGCAGATAGTATATACAGGTGATGTTAAGATTCATGTTGATATTATAGCCTGATGACGTCCGCGGCAGAAGTCAGTACTACTTCTCCTGGAGACACGACAATGGCAGGAAGTACACCGGCGGACAGGCTCACGGCTTGTGTACAAGTCTGGGCGGCGGGTGGCAGCCTGTGGGCATCAGCTCCCATGACGAGCTCCAGTACATCAACAGCATTGTTGGCTCAAGTTAGTTACATTTCCTTTATTTGTATAAGGCCCCAATCTCATCGCTGAAGTAGTATTAATCTTAGACACACATAGACACACTCCCGTTAAACTGAGCAATTTATAGGGGGTAATTAAACTATTTTTAGGAGTGGTCTATTTCAGCAGTTTAAGGGTTAAGCACAAACGACATGTGTGCATGAGCTATTTATATAATAATACTAGCTGTACCCGGCCACGCGTTGCTGTGGCTCAGCAGCCAATGTGTGTTGCAGAGGCACAGCAACCTTTCCCCGTCTCCCAGTCCTCCCCCCCCCCAGTCCCCTCGTCCTACCCACCATTCCCCACTCCCTCGTCCCCTCTTCCGCCCCACCATCCCCCCTTCCCTTGTCACCTTGTCCTCCTCCCTTGTCCCCTCGTCCTCCCCACCATTCCCCACTCCCTCGTCCGATGCATTCCCAAATAATCTGATGTTCCCATCAGAAAATTGGGAACATCAAATAATCTGATGTTCCCATTACTGAAAAATAAGAACAGTTAAAAAAAAAATAAAAAATTTAAAAATAAACTATTCTCACAAAATGAACGGTATGGTAAACACAGCTCAATTCCAAGGCAATGTCACACTAAATAATTAAATGAAAATGAAAATTGAAATCTATGAAAATTCAATTTATCAATTCAGTCGGAAACATTGAAATGGAATCATAACATATTTAGTATAATGTGTGTTGCTCTTATGTGCAACAGATATGTTGTTTTTCAAAAAAAGCATGGTTTTACCTGTCACAGGTGTGGCATCTATACTTATACCCATGAAATGAACTGATTGGTAAACAACACAGCTCAATTCCAACGCAATGTCACACAAAATAATTAAAACAAAAGGAAAATAAATCAAAATCAATGAAAATTCCACTTATCAATGCAATCGGAAACATTGAAATGGAATCGTAGCATATTTATTATAGCGTGTGTTGCTCTTACGTGCAACAGATGGCGCTGTTTAAAAAAAAATGTTTTTACCTGTCTCAGGTGTGGCATCTATATAGTAGGAATATAAAAACACGCGCGTATTCGAATGGAATGTTATACCAAAATTTCAAAGCAATCGGTGAAGAACTTTCGGAGATTAGCGATTTTGAACAAACGAACATTTCCATTTTTATTTATATAGATACTGAAGTTGTCATGCGTCGAAATGCATTGAGATTGATGATGATCAGAGAACGATGCATTGTGTTGAGACAATGCAAATCTACACATAATTTACATTTACATTTACATTTACAATTTACATTAATAATTAAACGAATTTACACATAAATGACTTCATTGTACCCAATTTAATTCCCACTTTTTTACATTAATTAATTAATTAATTACATTTACATTTACAATTTACATTAATAATTAAACGAATTTACACATAAATGACTTCATTGTACCCAAATTAATTCCACTTTTTTTTTACATTAATATTTTCATCTTATATTTTTTTGTAAATAAATGTGTCACTTTTTTGTGTGAACAGACCGACTGGAATACATCTGGACCGGCGGGGTGAGAAATGGCCCCGGCTTCAGGTGGATCAATGGAGAACCTTTTAATGTTGTTGGCTGGTCACACACCGGAGGGTAAGTTGAATATACACAAACACACACATACACATGTGGAACTCGCTCAAGGGGACACAGTACCAAAGTGAGCCACAGAGACATTAGAAAGAATTTATTCAGTGTCGGAGTAGTTAAGAAATGGAATGCACTATAGGATGTGATGTGGTGAAGTACTTTGTACTCCATATAGTACATAGTTTCAAATGTAGATGTGATACTGCCCAGAGTTTTTTTTTCTTATTTATTATTTTCTACCACAGACGTGGCCACACATTTACAATGCTAACCAGAATATATACATTTTCTTCTGTCCTCCATGGACAGGGTGTGTGAGAGAGAGTGTGTGTGTGTGTGTGTGTGTGTGTGTGTGTGTGTGTGTGTGTGTGTGCAGGGCAGCCAATTCTCAGGCAGGACGAGATTTTCAGACACTTTTTCTTACACCTGATGTACCTGTTTACCTAGCATCATAGATAACCTTAAGCCTGTCTTCTTGTCCCCGACAAAGTCAATCCACGTAATCGTACACGTACACGTAAACACACACACACACACACACACACACACACACACACACACACACACACACACTCGTAACCTAATATGGCTTATTACAACAAGCTACATAATGACAGACTCAAATATAGCTACACACGAGGCAATATATCACATTCTTTTTTACTTTGCCTGTGCTACAAAGCAATGTTTATATTGGAATATCCCTCGGGAAGGTCTCCTGAGTTAGGAATACAGATGTTACACTGCAGGGAGTGTAGAAGAGCAGAAGTGACTGTGTATATGTATTACAGATTCGGCATCCCTCAACCCGACAACCGTGAGGACGGCCAAGAGAACTGCCTGGCGGTCCTCAACAACTTCTACCAGGACGGTATTAGGTGGCACGATGTGGGATGCCACCACCCGAAGGCAATCATCTGCGAACGTCATATATAAATTGCCACAAAAACCAGCCCCATGCTCTTAAGGGTTATATTCATGCCCGTGTCACCTCTTGGGTGGCTTGATCTTCATCAGTCAGTCAATCGCCCCTGCTCTCTCTCTCTCTCTCTCTCTCTCTACCCAACCACTTGGGCTGGACGGTAGAGCGACAGTCTCGCTTCATGCAGATCGGCGTTCAATCCCTGACCGTCCATGTGGTTGGGGCACCATTCCTTTCCCCCCGTCCCATCCCAAATCCTTATCCTGACCCCTTCCCAGTGCTATATAGTCGTAATGGCTTGGCGCTTTTCCTTGATAATGCCTTCTTCCTTCTCTCTCTCTCTCTCTCTCTCTCTCTCTCTCTCTCTCTCTCTCTCTCTCTCTCTCTCTCTCTCTCTCTCTCTCTCTTCTCTCTCTCTGGGTATTGCTGTTCCAGGAAGTCTGTCAGATATTGGAGCTTAACTCTCTCATACTGGATCTCTTCATTTCTCTCTCTCTCTCATACTGGATCTCTTCATTTCTCTCTCTCTCTCTCTCTCTAAACATTTCCTTGTCTTTTCAGGTCTTTTGCATTCATCTTTCGAGTAATGAGTCCCGGTTAAGGACATATTCTGAACCCACTCACCACCTGACCCATGTGTCTGTCAGTCCTTGTTATATGTTTAAAAACGATAGCGTCAGCTATGTACTGCTCTCTGCTGATATGCTGAAAGATAACTTAATTTACAACTTTTAGTGTGCTATCTTTCCTTAAAATGAGATATGAGGATATTTCCTCACAAAAAAACTCCTACTCCTGGATTTTCTACTGATATATGTATATTTTATATAGCTTCCAAATAATCTTGTATATGTTTCGTAAATATACTTATGGAAACTAATATGTTACTTTTCGAAGATAAATATATATATTCTATGAAGAAAAAAATTGATTTTTTGTTCAGTACCTCTTTTTATACATTCTGTATACCATCTTCTTGAGGTTATCTTGAGATGATTTCGGGGCTTTTTAGTGTCCCCGCGGCCCGGTCCTCGACCAGGCCTCCACCCCCAGGAAGCAGCCCGTGACAACTGACTAACACCCAGGTACCTATTTTACTGCTAGGTAACAGGGGCATAGGGTGAAAGAAACTCTGCCCATTGTTTCTCGCCGGCGCCTGGGATCGAACCCAGGACCATGTCTCTGCTGATGTCATGTTCCTGTCTATTGTCACTCTAACGGTATTTAATTCTATTTGAACTATTGAATATATTATTACTTTTCAGAGTAACCAACAAACTCTGGGGGTAGGGCTTGACCCCCCCCCCCCCTCTCCTGCCAGGGGTCAGATTCACGAAGCAGTTACGCAAGCTCTTACGAACCTGTACATCTTTTCTCAATCTTTGGCGACTTTGTTTACAGTTATTAAACAGTTAATGAGCTCCGAAGCACCAGAAGGCTGTTTTATAATATTAACAGTTGATTGGCACGTTTTCATGCTTGTTTAATAAATGTAACCAAAGCCGTCACAGATTGAGGAAAGATGTACATGATCGTAAGTTCTCTACTTGCCTAATTGTTTCGTGAATCTGCCAGCTACTTAACTTTTCCAGCACCGTTCACTCCCTACTATAAGGCTGAGCAGCAACCCCTTGTATCATAAGAGCAACCTTTGTATAATAACAAGGTTATTGTGAATAACCGAACTCACAAGTACGGGCTCACTATAGCCTGTGCTACATGGACATTTCGTTCTGAGTAGAGTCTTCCATACGTTCTCGATTTCAGACCGGCGTTGCATACTCTAATATTGGTCTTACATACGTTACATACTTTATCTTTAAAAAGCGAGCCTGTATTTATGTTTTAAAATGTCATTCAATTATTTACCAGCTTCATATGTCTTGCCAATGTTACCCTGTTTGTGTGTGTGTCACAGGTGTTAGGTTAAAATTATGCCCACCAAATATTTCTGTCTCTGATTCCTGTAGCTGATGTCCAGTTATAGTATAGAATTGTTCTGGTCACCTCCTTCCTTACCTATCTTCAGTAACTGAAAATTGTTAAGACTGATCTCTTAACAGCTATTTATCTATGCATTCCTGGAGTTCGTCCAGGAACTCTTCCTGTAATCTTTTCTTCCTTGTGATGTCAAGGTCTTCCTGTAATGTTTCCTTTCTTGTGATGTCAAGGTCTTCCTGTAATGTTTTTTTCTTTGTAATGTCAAGATCTTCCTGTAATGTTCTCCCAGTCCTCGATTCTTATATTCTAAACACTCCAAGTGTATTCTCTGTTTACAGGACCTGAGTCATGATCTCACATTATTGAATGTTCACTCATTTTACCCTTAAGTATTAAGTAAGTAATTATCAAAAGAAGGCACCCTTAAGTATTAAATAACTGGAGCTATGCAGTTACCTCATTCACTCTGATGTCGACGATGAGTCACAATAACGTGGCTGATGATACGATGACCAGACCCCACACCAGAAGATGAAGAGACGTCGTCGTCTTGATTAATGGTCCAGGACGGTCCGACACGTCGTCGTCTTGATTAATGGTCCAGGACGGTCCGACACGTCGTCGTCTTGATTAATGGTCCAGGACGGTCCGACACGTCGTCGTCTTGATTAATGGTCCAGGACGGTCCGACACGTCGTCGTCTTGATTAATGGTCCAGGACGGTCCGACACGTCGTCGTCGTCCCTTCATCTTCTGGTGTGTGTCATCACTTATGTTTCTTGAGGTTATCCACATAATCTATATGATTACTGATTACATTCGTCTGAATGATCATCATGTGAGATAAGGGTTTTAGTATATCATAGCCCTTGAATTACACAAAGAAATCATAACAGCGTGATGCATCATATGAACAAATCCACAAGGGGCCGTCATGAGGGTTCGAACCTACGTCAGAGAGGTTCCCAGACGCTGCCTTAATCGACTGTGCCACCACATGGAAAAGAATTGCAACTGGGAGTGCTACCGCCCTCACGCGGATCCTGCCTCTTTTCGCCATAGAAGCTATGTAACCCTTTATAAAGTCTACTGTAGCAGCAAATAAATGTGGATTTATCTGCTGCTACTTTAATGTTAAGAGAAAAATTCAACACTGAACAAAGCAAATTTTCTCGGTGGTGTTCCACTTGGGAACATTTCATGGTCAACCAGATGACGACTATAAGGCAAAATACTTTTTTTGCCAGCTGCAGTTTTTTGTATATGTCGTATTTTAGTGATAATTGATTCCTCGTGTAACTCCAGCTTAACTTTCTCTATGGTTATCAAAGGAAAATTATTCCATAGGTCCAAACTTTATTCAGTTTTAAAAATCTAACTCTGAATAATGTTTTCATCTGTGGGAAATGTTTCCTTTGATAGCCAGGAAAGTAAACATAATGAGATCGTGAAATATATAAATATTTAAGCATCTAGTTTAAATATTACACTGAAAATATAATATATAAATAATATAAACATTACACTGAAACATTCACCGGGATTAAAGAACACTGCCATTTTCAGCTTATGGAGCAGCTATTCATAAGAATATAAGAATGCAGGTAACTGCAGAAGGCCAATTGGCCCATACGAGGCAACTCCTATTTATATCCACCCAATCTCATTCATGTATGTCTAACCTACGCTTGAAACAATCAAGGGATCCTATGCAGATGAAGTCAAAATAACGTGACTGAAAAATGTTGATAATGACACAATCGACTCGATGTTTCGGTCCAGGACGGACCGAAACATCGTCGTCTCTTCACTTTCTAGTGTGTGGTCTGGTCAAGAAGGGATTCTACTTCTATTAGTATTCGTAAGGTACAGCAGGTAGCACTTCACTGCCTGCATTGCTTACACTTCTATTCTCCTGTCTTCGAGCATTGCTTACAGAGAATGTATTGGAGGAGACATTACCAGGGCATACAAAATATTTTACTTCGATTCATGATACCTAGTTTATCGAGGGTGCCTCGCATCTTCTTCACTCAGACAATCTTCACCGAAGGACACTAAACAATCGAAATAAGATACTCTCACAGTGGAACGTATTGCTTAAATAATTTCTTTGAATGTGGCTATCATAATTGATCCCCCAGACACCTTCCTCGACCTACAGGTGCAGTACGAGCCGTACCCTATGTACACGTACCATAGTGCACGTACACCGTACCCTATGTACACTACAGATAATGAAGTGAATGTTTCACAATCGACTTGAGAATGGTCCAGGACTGACCGAAACGTCGTCGTCCCTTCACCTTCTAGTGTGTGGTCTGGTCAACACAGATAATGTACGTACACTATGTACACTACGTACACCGTACACTACGTACACCGTACACTACGTACACCGTACACTATGTACACTAACATGATCTCATCAACTGTCAGAGGCAAGAATACAAGGCATGCGGAAATACACAATATTAAAAAAAACAATAGAGACGACTGGAAGCAAATATAAAATCAACACAAAAAACGGGAAAATCATACACTTGGTCATTTCAATCTATATATTTATCTTGTAAATGGTAACGAGTTAGTTTCTGCAAGCGGCTTTACGAAAAATAAATATACAAGATTACATGTAGAAAATATAAATATATATATTAACTTAAGTGTTGCATGTCCAAGAGATTTTGTGAGTTAATTGAATGTCAATTTAACTTTCAGTACATCATTTGGCAACAGCAGAGAGCTGGTACTATCGTTCTTTAACAGCATATACTGAAGACTGAAACCTGAGAGGCTGCATAACGAGCCAATTATAGGCTTGATGATACAGAATGCAAAGTAATACGACCATGAGAAGCAATAGAATGAGATATGAGTATTATGTTCTATGCATGGAAAGTATCGTGGAGCGACAGTCCCGTGAGTAGCAAGGAGGCAGTTAACTGGAGCAGTTTAACCTCTACGTTCACAGATGACGGGTTTCACGTGGTGGCAGGCCACGTCGTGCCATTTGATGCCATCCTGGTAGAAGTTGTTAAGGACGGCCAGGCAGTTCTCTTGGCCGTTCTCACGGTTGTCGGGCTGAGGTCGACGGAGTCTGCAATATATAAAGACACCCCATCACTCCTGACATACCAATCAACACTCATTGCAGTGTATCTCACTTGTGTATATTTGTAACAAAGCCAAGAGCTGTATCTGTATAATTTCAATTATAAACATTTCTGTGCAATATAGCAAATGGAAGGTTAATTTCCCAGGTGCTTGATTATATCTGCGTGTCCTTGCTTGAGTCTGTTAAGGTGTGTCTTGATGAGTGTAAACAAATTTGATTGAGTGTGAATACGCAAGTGCGTATATTCAACATACCCTCCGGTGTGTGACCAGCCATTAACGTTAAAAGGTTCTCCGTTGAGCCATCTGAAGCCGGCGCCGGCTCTCACCCCGCCGGTCCAGATATATTGCAGCCGGTCTGTTCACACAACACAATGACAGATTTGTGACAGAAAAAATGTCAAGAAACAAAAAGAAACTGGAACCACGTAGGACTAAGGGAAAATAAGTACAGTATAACAGAGTTGTATGTTATCTTCACACATTATTTCAACCCAACGGAATTCTTTGATGAGTCCTTAAGCATAATTACTTTCATTATACTACTTTTAAAAACTTATTAATATATGTGCTCTTAACCCTTTCGCTGCAACTTTCGCCTTTGAACGTGAAAAATATATTAAGTTTATGGTGCGACTGGTATCTGTGGGCGCGTTCCTATCAGGATTAAGTAGATATCATCTGGGTTAGGTAGGTTAGTTTATCATCAGGGCAAATGGGGGGACCTTTGACAAGCCGCCGGGTTCCTGTCCTTGTCGAGGGCACTAGTGTTAGTGGCCCTCGGGGATATACAAGTCATCTGAGGTACGGTTGTGGCCTCGGGTCGACAGAGGTCTTAAAGTGGCCATAAGGAGATGAAATGTTTCAACTCAGGCAACCTGTCCTCTTAAAAAGAACGTCGCTTTTGGCCGTTTGCCCGTATGGCCGAATTTGGACGTAATTTGAAAATGAAAAAAAAATTAAAATAAATTTGGGATTTTTTTTTTTCAACAACAGTAAGTTAAGGGTCCTCTGATAGGTTAGGTGGGCAGGAAATTCTCATAAAGTTTCAAAACGTTAAGAAAAACGTTAATTTAAAGTGTCCTCTTATAACCTCTGCGCGTACGCCGGACAACTCAAATAGAAAACGGAACAGAACGTCACTTTTGTGAGTCGATTTCATTTCAAATTACGTCCAAATTTGGCCATAGCGCGCATACGGGCGGAAAGTGACGTTATTTTTAAGAGGACGGGTTGCACACATCTGTGACTAGATCGTGTCAGCTTCCTCGTCAAATTTCCTCCGACTGTGTAATTATTTGATTATTGGTCATGCCAATGGCGGACGATACAGAGTGCTAACAGAAAGTTGTCTGTGGAGGAGAATATGAGGGAGGGTGCATGATGTCTTGAGTATAGATGCAACATCAAATTTTCTCATCTTCCCACACCCCAGGACAAATCCATTTTGCTTTCCAATCCAACATAACATCCACATGATTTTCTATCATCTTGCCAACACCCAAAGTTCGGTCATTAGGAATTATGACCTTATTTTCCTTGTGGTCGACTTTTTATGTAACATATGATAAATAATTACGTTTTTAATTATTATTTCTTCGATAAGCTAAGAGGTGATCTATAGTGATCAGTGCAGTCGGCTCGCAACCTAATGGTCCCGGGTTCGACTGTCAGGCAGGACGAAGCGTTTGGTTGTTTCCTTGTACCTGGTGCCTCTGTTCACCTAACAGTACACAAAATATGATCCTGGGAGTTAAGAAACTGAGGAATGTAAGTTGTTGGCCTCCAAGTACCTTATTAAACCCAACAGTCTTCCTGCTCTCGACAATGGGACACTTAATCACTTCTCTCACCCACAACCAAATTTCGGCATCTAGAACTGTTTACGCATTTTTCTGCGTAATCTCAATATTTTTTTCTATACAACTTTATAAGGAAATAGTTTTACTATCGATAATTATTCAAAATAATATTTCTGTGATCCTTGAAGGTAAATATTAACTTCTCAGTTCACCGCGGCCAATGAATGACACCTTAAACACTTTCATTAATGTTCCTGAACTTCCATAATTTTCTCAATCAATTCATGACAATTATTTTGTTAATTTTCCCCAAAACGTAGATCGCTAGAAACGTATGAGCAGCCTAAGGGTTAAGAACGAATAAAAATGCAGATTAAGTCGAATAAGGTTGAGGCCATATACAAATAAAGGAAATGTAACTAACTTGAGCCAACAATGCTGTTGATGTACTGGAGCTCGTCAGGGGAGCTGATGCCCACAGGCTGCCACCCGCCGCCCAGACCTGTACACAAGCCGTGAGCCTGTCCGGCTGTGTACTTTCTTCCATTGTCGTGTCTCCAGGAGAAATAGTACTGACTCCCACCACGGGTGTCGTCAGCCTATAATACCAACATGTTCCTTAATCTCACCTATGAACACTTTTTACAAGTTTTTACACTTTTACTAGCACTTTAAATAATGTATATTTTGTTATATTAATTACTTTAATGTTACTTATTCACAGCATATAACAAGAACTTCTTGGAGCGGATCTCGAGCCTGATAAAACTGATTTAGGTGACACAAAAGATTGGATCATCAAATGCTGTAGCTTTTAGATATTTGTTGACACAAGTTGTTATAAACAAAGGTTTGCTCACCTGAGCACCAAAGCCTTGACGACCAAATTGCTGGCCACCAAAGGCTCGGGGTCTTTGGAACCCATTGAAGCCCGAGAACTGAGGTTGACGCCCGAAGAACTGGAACTGACAGGCCGCCAGCCCGACCAGAGTGAGTAGCAACACGATCTTCATCTGTGAAGTAGTGTGTGTAATCCTTGCCTTAACTCAGGGGTAACGGGGCCACATTCTTTATTTTACACATTTTTTCACGGATAAAATGAAAAAAAAATCAGTTTTATAAGCAAATGAAAGTTTTATCTGTTACAATAAGATGTAACTTATTATTTTTTGGTAATCATCATGATACGATTCAGCAATTTCCAAGAAACTTGCCTTGTGGCTATGTCCAAGAAAATTATCATTTTTTGGTAATCATCCTGATACGATTCAGCAATTTCCAAGAAACTTGCCTTGTGGCTATATCCAAGAAAATTATTCACATAGATTTAACAAACAGCAGGAAACAGGGACTTGTCTCTGAAGCCTCATGCACACTAGCACTGGTACACGGCAAGCGTGAGGTTCTTAAAAGCACATGCCACACGTGAATGAAATGAGGCTTCGCCAGACAACATTCTGGCTTGCAGACGAGTAGTCACAATAACGTGACCAAGCCACTTTGGTATGTTGTTATATAGGAACTGGGTGAGTCAAGAGGGTAGAAATAGCCTAAGCTACTCTATCCTTGTCTCAATAAACGTATTTGAACTTGAATTGGATGTGTTTAACTATCCGGCCGCGGGGCTAAGATTCACAACTGAGCGCAGTTGTAGTCAACTGTTTCTTCAGGGAATAGGTGGTAAGTGGAGGGCGTGGGGGTGACAGGGCGTGGAGATTATGGGGTGAGGGCATGGAGATTATGGGGTGAGGGCGTGGAGATTATGGGGTGAGGGCGTGGAGATTATAGGGTGAGGGCGTGGAGATTATAGGGTGAGGGCGTGGAGATTATAGGGTGAGGGCGTGGAGATTATAGGGTGAGGGCGTGGAGATTATTGGGTGAGTGCGTGGAGATTATAGGGTGAGAGCGTGGAGATTATGGGGTGAGGGCGTGGAGATTATGGGGTGAGAGCGTGGAGATTATAGGGTGAGGGCGTGGAGATTATAGGGTGAGAGCGTGGAGATTATGAGGTGAGAGCATGGAGATTATAGGGTGAGGGCGTGGAGATTATAGGGTGAGGGCGTGGAGATTATAGGGTGAGGGCGTGGGTGTGACAAGTCCCGTCAACCACCTACCTTGGCAGAAGTACAAGTGGTTGGCAGGACGCAGCTGCCGTCTATATTAACCTGATGGAGATCCAGTGGGTCAAGGAAGGTGTGGGAATCCACCTTCCTCCTTAACAACACAACTATCGCCACTCGGATCGCCATTACCATCCAGGGATCAGCAATGTAACCACCATCACGACCCCTACAATCCCCTTCTCACTCTCTCGGTGTTTAAAGTTAATCTAAATGGGCATAAAAAGCTGTAAATAATCCACAATCATGATGTCTCTCTTGTGAACAACGGCAACACCGGGTTTATTTACATTCAAGAGGAAAACGCTGCTCTTTTGTTTTATAAGCGTTACAGTATCTACATTCTACTCTCGTGATCATGAATTGTGTCCATATAAGCGGTATTACGGATAATGCAACTTACAATGACATTGTTCATCAGTACTTCACCTCAGATATTTGACTTCCTGTTTTTAAGATATGGTAGAGATTCACTTCCTCTGTCTGTCTGGGATTCTGGTCATGCATGCACTCAATTTTGGAGGTTACTTTGTTCTATGGTCACTATCGCCTTGAGGTCACCATATCCTCGTGGTTACCGTGTATTTGTGGTCACTATGTCCACGAGGTCACTATATCCATGTGGTCACTATGTCATGATTGTCATTATATTCTAGTGATTAATATGTCATTGTGTCCACTATGTCCTGGCAGCCACTATGCCCTGGAGGTCAATACGTCTTGATGGCCACTATGTACTTGCGGTAACTATGTTCTTATAGTCAGTATACACTAGGGGGTCACTATATCCTAGTGGTCACTATGTTCTGGTGGTCACTATATCCTTGTGGTCACTATGTCCTAATGGACACCATGTTCTACTGGTCCCTATATCCTGGTGGTCACTATATCCCATTCGTCATTATATCCTTTTGGTCACTATGCCCTGGTGATCTCACTATTCTAGTGGTCACAACGTCCTTGTGGTCACTATATTTTAGTAGTCAGTATATACCTGAGGTTCACTAGAAATACTTGTGACTAGTATATTCTTTTTATCATATATATATATATATATATATATATATATATATATATATATATATATATATATATATATATATTATATATTTGTACCTAGTAGCCAGAACGTCGTACTTGGCCTACTATGTAAGGCCCTATTTGCCTGATAACCCAAGTTTTCCTGAATTTACAATTTTTTCGGATTTTTTTCTTATGAAATGGTAAATCTGTCCATTTCATTATGTATAAGTTAATTTGTTTAAATTTGAGTTAAAACTAACGAGGATATATGACCGAACCTAACCAACCCTACCTAACCTAACCTATCTTAATTAACTTAACCTAAACTAACACAACTAAGTCAATAAATTATGGTCTTAATATACTATAATAAAAATAATTCAAATAAACTAATTGGAAACAATTTATTGAAAATAAAGAAAATCACTCGGCCTATTAGGCAAATCGGTCCTTGCATAGTAGGCCGAGAAGTGCATTCTGGCTACTAGGTACAACATATATATATATATATATATATATATATATATATATATATATATATATATATATATATGGACAGATTTACCATTTCATAAGAAAAAAAATCCGAAAAAATTGTAAATTCAGGAAAACTTGGGTTATCAGGCAAATAGGGCCTTACATAGTAGGCCAAGTACGACGTTCTGGCTACTAGGTACAACATATATATATATATATATATATATATATATATATATATATATATATATATATATATATATATATGCATAAATATCCACTAGGAAAATGAAACAAAAATTCTGAACGTTTTCAACACATTATCAAGGAATACAGTATTTCTTGATAATGTGTTGAAACACGAAAATCTTCGGAATTATCGTTTCATTTTCCTAGTGGATATTTATGCACTATGTATAGTGCATAAATATTGTGTGTATGTATAATTGAATACACACACAACGCATATCCATAGATTGGAGGCCGCTATATATATATATATATATACATATAGTGACCTCCAAGATTGAGAGCAAGCATGACCAGAATTAAAGACAGACAGAGAGGAAGTGAACTTCAATCATATATTAATATAGGAAGTCAAATGTCTGATGTGAAATACCGACTAATGTCATTATAAGAATTTTGTATTCCGTGATACACATGTGGAAAATTCTTGTTAACGAGAGGGAAAATTACGAATATACCACTGTAATTCTTTGAAATCAAATCAAGAACATCTTCCTCGAGAATGTTAATTGAAAATGTTGCCAGACCTCAGTAGTCAAATATCATGAGTGTAGATTATTTGATGCTTATGATGTTTTTTTTAGATTAACTGAAAACAATGAGAGAGTGAGAAGGTGATTGTAGGGATCGTGATGGTGGTTACATTGCTGATCCCTGGATGGTAATGGCGATCTGAGTGGCGATAGTTGTGTTGTTAAGGAGGAAGGTGGATTCCCACACCTTCCTTGACCCACTGGATCGCCAACAGGTTAATATAGACGGCAGCTGCGTCCTGCCAACCACTTGTACTCCTGCCAAGGTAGGTGGTGGACGGGACCTGTTACACCCACGCCCTGCCAAGCACACCCACACCCTCCCAATCACACCCACACCCTCCCAATCACACCCACACCCTCCCAATCACACCCACGCTCTCCCAATCACACCCACGCCCTCCCAAACACACCCACGCCCTCCCAATCACACCCACGCTCATCATTCCCACGCCCTCATACTCCCTAGTTTTCACCACATGTGGGTACCGGAGCAGACGACTTCTGACTCCTGTTAGCAGTCTCAGAACTTCCCTTCTAACATTGGAAACCTTACCCACTAGTTTACTCTGAACACGATCCTCATGTCGACTCTAACCAGGTATACAATTACTGCTGGGTGAAGAGAAGCGAACAGTTGATGATTGGCGCCTAGTCAATCCTCCCTGGTCAGGACTCGAGCTAAGACCAAATCGTTTGCATTCCGATGGAGAGTATGTGTTATTATATAGCCTAAAGCGACCTCTAGCTACAGCTGGTCTCAAGTTGTGACCTAGTCACTTTTTTTTTATTAACACATTTAGGTACATCTTCATTTATGCAGCTACTCTAGACTATATGAAGGGGAGTACAGTGTCAGAAAACTAGTTACGTGATGCTAAAAATCCCCATCACACAGGATGGTTAGTCATGCAGAGGCATGTGCAGAGGCATCGCCAACAGGTTAATATAGACGGCAGCTGCGTCCTGCCAACCACTTGTACTCCTGCCAAGGTAGGTGGTGGACGGGACCTGTTACACCCACAAGGTAGGTGGTGGACGGGACCTGTTACACCCACGCCCTGCCAAGCACACCCACACCCTCCCAATCACACCCACGCTCTCCCAATCACACCCACACCCTCCCAATCACACCCACGCTCTCCCAATCACACCCACGCCCTCCCAAACACACCCACGCCCTCCCAATCACACCCACGCTCATCATTCCCACGCCCTCATACTCCCTAGTTTTCACCACATGTGGGTACCGGAGCAGACGACTTCTGACTCCTGTTAGCAGTCTCAGAACTTCCCTTCTAACATTGGAAACCTTACCCACTAGTTTACTCTGAACACGATCCTCATGTCGACTCTAACCAGGTATACAATTACTGCTGGGTGAAGAGAAGCGAACAGTTGATGATTGGCGCCTAGTCAATCCTCCCTGGTCAGGACTCGAGCTAAGACCAAATCGTTTGCATTCCGATGGAGAGTATGTGTTATTATATAGCCTAAAGCGACCTCTAGCTACAGCTGGTCTCAAGTTGTGACCTAGTCACTTTTTTTTTATTAACACATTTAGGTACATCTTCATTTATGCAGCTACTCTAGACTATATGAAGGGGAGTACAGTGTCAGAAAACTAGTTACGTGATGCTAAAAATCCCCATCACACAGGATGGTTAGTCATGCAGAGGCATGTGATAAGTAGTCTGCACTGGCAGACTCTGGTGCATTATGAAGATATCATCATGAACACTAGAATAAGGCAGCAGTGATACTAAAAGTCCCCATCTCGCAGGATGGTTAGCCATACAGGGCTATACGTTCAGTAGCCTGCACTGGCAAATTTTCGGTGCACTATGAGGATATCCTCAAGAACACGAGAGTGAATAAAGTAATTGCAAAGCTCCAGGTACCTCATGCCAGCGGGTCTGAATAGCCTGATAACTGGGCATTCGGTGATATAGTGTGCAAGCTCATGCCCCAGTTCCTGCTCACAGAATTTGCACCTGGATTGGTCAAATGTACTTTACACGTGAGAAACCCTTAGCATGATAATCGCCAGACACCGCCCGATTGCCAAAAGGTGTTGTTATTGATAAGTTTTAACCACTGGAGCTGTTAAGGCCTGCATTACCATAATTATATTTTATTTCCCAGATGAAGGTCGTGTTGTTTCTCGCTGTGGTCGGGCTGGCAGCCTGTCAATTCCAAAATCGGTTCTCAGGCTTCGGTGGTCAAAACTTTGGCGGTCAAGGCTTTGGTGCTCAGGTGAGTTAATTATTATTTGAATCAACTTGATGCTTGTATCAACAAACATACAAAACTACAGCATTTAATGATAAAAGTCAATAGTTAACTTTTGTGCCATCTTTCTCAGTCCTATCAGGCTGGTGATTCGGCCCCCGAAGGCTCGTGTTATATTATGTAACTAAGTAACATCAAGGTAATTAATATGTAATAAAATACACATTATTAATGTGACAATGTTTAACCATGAAGTAAATAATAAGTAGAAATTCCTTAAGTACTTTCTTGTTAATCAACACATCACCAGAAGGATGATATGTTGATTAACATGAAAGTACTTAATGAATTTCTTGTTTAATTTCCTTTCACGGTTACATAATATCACTTTATTCACCACGTGTAAGTTTCTATGTGATTTACACACACACATTATTCCAAGTGCCAATCATTCTCTGTAGGAAATGCTTACAGGTGATGCTAATATATATGATGGTACACAAAGGGTAACCACACCAACGTAATTACGTTTGTGTGTACATGAGAGAACACCCACCGCATAGGTTCGAGCCCTCACCACGGCTCCTACGGATTTTCATATATGCTGGTATTACAGGCTGACGACACCCGCGGCGGGAGTGAATATTACTTCTCCTGGAAACACGACGGAGGCAAAGATTACCCTGCCAATGCGGCTCACAGCTTGTGTACAGGTCTGGGCGGCGGGTGGCAGCCGGTGGGCATCAGCTCCGAAGATGAACTCAACTACATCAACGGCATTGTTGGCTCAAGTTAGTTACAATTGCTTTATTTCTCGATGACTTTAACCTCAGAACATTGAATCTATATTTAACCCGTTCTTAACCCTTACGCTGCTCAGTTTTGTTAAGCCACAGCTTTTATATATTTTTTCTGGAAAGTTGGAAAATTATACGTTCTTTGGAATTCATTGTGAAAATTTTGGCCATGATGACCAGAGAAGTGCACATTTGCTCTCAAGAGTCCAGGCACATAATTCGAATAATTAATAATATAAATTCTCATAAAGTTATATAGAAAAATAGTGAAATTGTGCAAGAAAAATAAACAAACAGATCAAATTGCCAAAGTTTGAGTGATATGTTTTTTTCTGCATTGCAGTGTACCTCATTTATCTGTGTATACACACTAAGAGTATGTTCAGGACTTCAGTAAACTTGCTGGTAAACTGCTGTGGTGGCCTCAATAACTCTTCCGAGGCTGATAGGTCATAAGCACGCAAACCATACCATTGTCAGGACCAGAAAGCTTGTTAGGCTATAATAGACTTCATGGCTTTAGAGAATTCTGGCGCGCAATGTGGGCAGACGAGTTACTGGCGGGAGATTTGAGGGAGTTCGTTATGGCGAGACTAGAGGAGAAGTTAGTTTATTTCATTTATTATCCGCCACATATCTATCCTGTGGGTGATTGTGGAAAAAGCTACAGAGGCACATAATGGGCTGAGGAACTGAACCCCAATTAGGAAGCTAACATGAAAATTTAAGGCGCATAAAATTCGAATTTCGCGTTTCAGTATGGAGATTGCGTTCTACTGAAGAATAAAAACAAAAAATCTTATTTTTTGTTTTGAAATGGGAGAAAAGTTGATGCATGCTGGTGTCTGATCAGCCCGTCCTCCTAAGGTTTCCCAACGTCAAGAAAACGGTCAAAATAAAGGGTCCTCTCCTGACCTACTAAAGGACTCAAACACAAACCGGGACAGCACGTCACTTTCGCCAGCAGCCTCCATTTTCTAGTACGACAATTTTTTTTTTACTTTATGTAACACATACTATCGAAATGCGACGTTCTTTGAAAGACGACAGGTTGGTCTGATTGCATCACCACTCTGCCTCAGTCTCCCCTACACAACGTACTGTTGGCGGCCTTCTCAGTATCATGCACGATTTTCGAAAATTTGCATTCAGAGAGGCCCTTCGTGTATCTAATATTCAATTTATCAGTAACATCATTGGTATATATGACCCTTCGTGTATCTAATATTCAATTTATCAGTAACATCATTGAATAAAGTAAGAATAGCCTCGAAAAACTGTCGTGGTTGAAGACTCTCTCGTCGTAATTGATGGGTTAGCAGCGGAAGGGTTAAAAACCAATGACCACGTACGAATACCAATTATTCTTAAATAAAAATGTGTTGGGATGAAATGCTGTGAATTTATATATGACTTCATTATACCAGACGTATTTTAATTTTTGCGACACATTTCTAATTTATACTTTCGTCTCCTTGTATTGTTTTCCCGAATATGACTTTCTTTTGTGTGAGCAGACCGGCTGCAGTTCATCTGGACCGGCGGGGTGAGATCTGGCGCTACCTTCGCATGGATCAACGGTGAACCTTTCGGCGTTGTTGGCTGGTCACACACCGGAGGGTAAGTTCCATGCCCTCACGTGCGTGTTCAAACACACACACACACACACACACACACACACTCATACACATCTCAGTTTCAAGTGTAGATATGATAAGAGCCCAGTAGGCTCATAGACCTGTACACCGGTTGATTGACAGTTGAGAGACGGGACCAAAGAGCCAGAGCTCAACCCTCGCAAGCACAACTAGGTAACTAGGTAAGTACACAGGTCCGAGCAGACAGCGCTCTGGGTTTGTAATCTTAAGGGCCCAAGCTCGATTCCCGGTCGAAGCAGAAACGAATGAGCAGTCTCTTTCACCTGATGTCTTTGTTAACCTAGCAGTAGATAACTAGGGAGTTAGACAGCTACTGCGGGCTGCATCCTGGGGGAAGGGGTGTTTGTGTGTTAGATATATATGTAGTAGATATCATAGATGACGAAAAGGAGGGAGTTAAACATTAAACACCGGACGGTTAGCGAAGTGGGATCCAAGAGGAAGCTTGATCCTGTAGGCACAACTAGTAAATACTCTCATACACACACACTTACACAGTAAGGTGAAGAAAGGACACTCAGATATAACCAAATATGATACGAATAAATACATTCAATCTACTGTGCTTGCATTGCATCAATATGATTATAATGGACAATTGTTAGGCAGCTATTGACTGACATTGTATGTATACACAGGCGAGATACACTTCATTAAGTGTAGACTGGTATGTCAGGATTCATTGATAAAGATTAAGCCACCCAAGAGGTGGCACGGGCATGGATAGCCCGTAAAGGATATGTCAGAAGTGATGGAGTGTATATTTTGCAGACTCGGCCGACCTCAGCCCGACAACCGTGAGAACGGCCAAGAGAATTGCCTGGCCATCCTCAACAACTTCTACCAGGACGGCATCAAATGGCACGACGTGGCCTGCCACCACGTGAAACCCGTCATCTGTGAACGTCGAGCTTAAGCTGCCCCGTAAACTGCCCCCCTGCTACTCACGGAACTGTCGCTCCACGATACTTTCCATGCATGAGTTTGGAAATACTCATATCTCATTCTATTGCTTCTCGTCTTATTACTTACATTTCATTCTGCATCATCAATCCTATAACAATATATGATTATATATGAGGCTACACAATATTGTGTAGCCTCTCACTACCGTCCCAGAGAGAGAGAGAAGAGTAAGCCACCCAAAAGGTGGCTTGGGCATGAATAGCCCATAAGTGGTGGCCCTTTTGAGCCATTTCCAGTATCAGTAGATGATACTGGAGATCTGTGGAGGTGCGACTGCACCCTGCGTGACGGGAGATGTCTCCCGTGACCGTCCCAGGTTTCTGTCTACATTATATGCTGTCGAAGGACAGTATTAGCAGCTCACGGCTCTTGCCAAGTGATGTACTGAAAATTAACACTTAACTTGCAGTTTTCCTTTTGTCTTGTGAGATATGAGAATTTTTCCTCGCCAAACTCCTACGCCTTGATTGCATTATCAACATTTTTAACTGAGTATATTTATATTTATATTTTCTCCATTTAATCTTTATATTTATTTTTCGTAATTCCGCTTGCGGAAACTAGTAATATTTAGAAAATAAATTCATAGATTGTGTGACATGATTTTTTTTTACTTTTTTCCTGCTTTAATAATGACTGAGTCTTGTGTCTGCTGTTTGTCTCTACTGTTATCACATCTATGATATCTGCTTGTCTTGCATACTTCTGATTTACAGAAGTATGCAAGGCAAATTTGCATACTTCTGATGCAATTGCCTCTTCAAATCTTCTAATTTGATGAGACAAGTAGTCTACTCAATCACTGCTGTAAAAACACTTGTGGGTTGAGGTAAGTGTTCAGGAATATATTAGACTAGCAACTTCCAGTCCCCAATTACTGAAGGGGAGGAAATAAGTATGAGTAATATCTTTACCCTTAGGGGGGCACTGTGAGGGACTTGTAGCTAGCCTCGCCTCACCACACTTCAGTTGAAAATAAATTGCTCCTAATCTGGTACTCAAGAAGAGGGTAATGTTATGTTCCTCACCTGCAACACTACCAAGGAGACCCAGGTACCTTCACAGACAGCTCCAACTCATCATTGACCCTCCAAGATATTAACGTGTGTTTGAGTTCTTGCTGTACACCTGCTCCCATCACAACCTGCTGAGCCCATCAACTAAAAGCTTATTGGTCTCACTGAAATCGTGGTCTACAGAATTTTGTGCCAGCAATGATGTAATAATTTGGGGTTTGTGGTCTTCTACCCAGTGACAACCCTTGGATCAAAATCTGTTCAAACAGGGGTCTTGTCAGAATAGCCTCTTCCTAGCTTAATTTCCGGTGTAACATGTCATGTAAAATCAACAGCTCAATGTATAGTCAGAATACATTATACTTGGGCACTATGAGCCTCGAAGCGGCGACACCAGGAGCAGGAGACAGTAGCTCTATCAACCATGTTACTGAACAGCCACAATATGAAATGATTTCTTCGAGATTTGTAGAAGAAAATATTAAAGTGTTTAGTGAGAATCCTGAATATTATATAATAATATATATATATATATATATAAACTGAAAACTCACACCCCAGAAGTGACTCGAACCCATACTGCCAGAAGCACTCTGCAACTGATGTACAGGACCCCTTAACCACTTGACCATCACGACCAGACAAAAGATGATGGTAGCCAAGGCTAATTCCCCATCATCCCGCCGGCACTTTGATGGTAATCTTGGGCATGGTATTTTATCAAATCACCTCATTCTTTGGGGCACACGTGAGGAACACAAATGCGAACAAGCCTGAATGGTCCCCAGGCATATATGCAACCGAAAACTCACACCCCAAAGTGACTCGAACCCATACTGCCAGGAGCACTGCAACTGGTGTACAGGACCCCTTAACCACTCGACCATCACGACCGGACAAAAGATTATCTTTTGTCCGGTCCAGTCGGTCATATTATATATATATATATATATATATATATATATATATATATATATATATATATATATATATATATATAATTAAAAAATAAAGTACAATCAGTGAAATACAGCACTTGAATATGTAAGCAGGAAGATGACATGTGAGGTCATCTCTTTGTAATATTTGTAATAACAATCTCTTTGTAATAAATATCGGTTCATGAACACAGAACAAGAGGCAACTCCGGAAGACCTAATGGTCAGTGTATTCTCTTACAAGATGTTTTTTTAATTGAAAAATTAAAATGGATTCAAATTGTACAAACCATTACTAATATTCAAATCGTATGGCTTTGTAATTTATATCACAGTAGATTCAATATTTCTATTGAAAATGATTTTACAATTTCTTTTTGAAGACCTCTCTCTGTTAATTTTTTGAGAATTTTCTGAGAAATGAATAAATAAATTAAATATATTGATTTAAATATATTACAAATCATGCAACTTGGAAAATATAAAATGTTTCTTTGCACATGATACAATTTTTTTGTCATAGTAGCATAATTCATCTCTTTCTTTGAATACTGTTTAGGAGAACAAAAAAATATGTATACGATATAAAGTCTACACATTAAAAAAATAGCGATGTGTGGGATGTGGAAATCGTGACATTGCTGATCCTGAAATGAGAATGACGAGAGTAAATTGTTGTGTTGAGCAGGAGTGTGGAGTCACGCAGCTTCCCATCGACTAGTATATAAGGCGGCCACTGCGTTACGGCAAGCACTTCCACCCCCGCTAAGGCAGGTGAAGAACGGATGCTGAGATCAACCGCACCTTTACTCAACCGTCCCGTACATCACTCCCTCTTTACCGTAAGTCATCCGTGTCTCCCGTACTCATCATGAGGTCTCAGTATATCGCGAGGGTATATAAAAATAAGTGGATTTGACAGGTTGCGACGGTGTGAGGCAACAGTGGGAAATATCAATGAGAAAAAATATCTTTGGAAGCAATGTTGGTGTTTGCGTCCAGTGACCCGGACGGCCACCACGGGGGTCCCTTTCTCCGGACTGTCATTCCAACTTGGCAACCTGCCTCCAGGTTCCATTATTGTTGCTAATTGTTACGTGAAGCCTCATCATTCCCCCCGATTTCATCACACCCACGCCCTCCCTCCCCCATCACCACACACTGACCCAATAACGCACAAGGCCTCCGTCACCTTGCCAAATCCTCTCCGGAACTAAGTATCGGTGAGTTATTGAGGCAACGCAGGTTGATAGTCCCACAATTACTGTGTTGGTAATCGTGGAAGAGAATGTTCGTTCTCTTGTTATTCCATTGTGCTGCTGCCGTGGATGGTGTACACGTTAAGCTCTCTTGGGTCCGACTAATAATTGGGTGGGTGACCACATGGATTCAGCTTCGCCTTCAGCTGCCTTTCATTGAGAGGACAGCTAGGCAAACTGCTGCCTTCTACAATTTTAGTACTGAATGCGACCAAAAACACAAACGTCAGGAAAATTACAACCCACATCATGTGTAACACAACAAAACCGGCCAGAATGCGAGGGATAATGAGCTAGACCTCACTTGCACTCTATATTAGGTAAGCCTACCTATACTTTCCCGATTCTTTGCTACACGTTTTTACAGAGAAAGGGAGGGGTAGAAATAGCCTAAGCTAATCTATCCTTTTGAGATGACCCTCTGTCCTGCGTGACAGTGAAATACCAGCATTATCCTCACTTTAATAAGACTTAATCGAAATCCTCAGATTAGGCAAAATTGTAATTAATTTTGTCAATGAAGATGTTAGTAATAATAATTTCAGATGTATTTTATGGTCTCAATAAACGTACTTAAACTTTAAAGATAAAAATGCATCCCCAAAGGACGGAGTAGCTTAGGCTACTTCTATCCTTCAGCATTCAAAGTAAGAATATTACCCAAAATATTATTTTAAACTCAGACTAATACTTTGTTTAACTTTTCAAGATTATGTATTATTCAGTAAGCATGATGACCAAACCACATGTCGGAAAATAAAGAGGCGACGACGTTTCGGTCTAGCCTGGATCATTATTAAGTTATAGAGAAAAAAGAGAGAGGATTGATTTGGCTGATGAAGATTAAGCCACCCAAAAGTGGCATGGGCATGAATAAGTGGTACGGGCAAGGGTAAGTGGTAGATTTTTGGAGTGAATGTCATCTTTGGTCGTGTCATAGAAGAGAGTAAGGGACAGGCAAATAAGGTAGGAGAAGGAGACGACAGGTGAGGAAAAAAAATATGAATAAGAATAGGAGAAAGGTAAAAATAAGAGACGAGGCAAGATAATGAAAATGGGGTCGCGAATAAGAGAAGGGGGAATGATAAAAGGTAAAGAGTAAAGGGGCACAGCTTATTTAACCGCTATTTAACTCAAACAAAATAATTAAGACCACATCTGACCTATTCATATAACTTACCCCATCTAGGCAGTCATAGAAAACGCAAACGTTGCAGCAAAGAAACATCAGCAGTCAGATAGTCATCAACACAACATTCAGCCAATGCATCAAAGCTACCTGAAAAAACAAACATGCAAGCCTTGCCAAATCATCACCAGTGACTCGCCTCCCCAACATCACCCATCGTGCAGTCACCGGGAGGAAGATCATGTAAAGAAATTGAAGAACTCAATCGCTTGAACAACGTATCATGAAGAACTCAGCCACTTGAACAACGTATCATGAAGAACTCAGTCGCTTGAACAACGTATCATGAAGAACTTAGCCACTTGAACAACCTAAGCAACTAGCCTAACCGACAGAGACCAATACTTAGAAAAACGTCCTTATTACGGTGCTTTAATATTTACTTAAACCCCGCAATTTTGACGGATTGGATGATTCCTATAAAATGCGATGATGCGTACGCTTCCCAGATTTCATTTTTTATATTATTTTTATTATAAATTGTTTAATTTTATATTTAAGAAGACGATATGGTAATTACACATTATGCTCATGAAATTCTTCTCATTGTTCTTAAATTATGAGCCCGTTCTCAGTACAGTCATTAGCTCGAGATACCAAATCTATTCTCATGCCAACTGGCTAGTTATCTCGATATTTATGATGGTCTGAAAGAATATAATACGGTTCCAATAATAGTTTACTTGTAAACTGAGAAGTAAACTTTTGTTCTAAACAAAGAATATTCTCAAGTTATAACTTTATTCTATTATAAATCATTAGTTTAGGATATATAAGATATATGCTTATATAATTTTCTTTGAAACGGTCTAAAGAATTTGGTTTTCCGAAAATAAAATTCTAGGGGATACTCAAATAGTTTTCAAATTTCATATTTCACGTTTTGAGATTAATACACCATATTAAGTAACCCAACGTAAGGAAACCTAACCTAAACTAACATTAACCCAATGTAGCCTTAACCTAACCTTACCACTGATAGGGAGCAGATAATAGCACAAACTACATATCAGTTTTGAAGTGATTACCTCCACGGTACCTCCTCCCTGACGACAGGTTGCAAATTATATGTAAATTCTAATTTAAAATACAAAATTAAGTCTGGCTACAGTTAGTATTACCATCGTGAGTTCTGGACAAAGTCAGCAAATTACTATAAACCTTCGACATTTGCAAAAAAAAGATATTGTTGGTATGCAGGATTTGAGTCACAATAACGTGGCTAAAATATGTTGACCGGACCACACACTAGAAGGTGAAGGGACGACGACGTTTCGGTCCATGCTGGACCATTCTCAAGTCGATTGTGCCCCAACCGTTCACCCTAGCAGTAAACAGGTACCTTTTGGTATCTATTTACTGCTGTTGGTTGTAGCCTGGAGGAGATTAGTACTTAGTCTAGGGGCACCTCGACATCCTGGACCATTCTCATGTCGATTGTGACTTGAGAATAGTCCAGGACGGACCGAAACGTCGTCGTCCCTTCACCTTCTAGTGTGTGGTCTGGTCAACATACTGTTGGTACATTTTTACCTTCACAAAAGGATATTCCAGAAGCTGGAGAAGTTGTGCTGCTACTGTGTTACAACTTGTACTTTATTTTCCAGATGAAGATCTTGTTGCTGTTGACTCTGGTCGGGCTGGCGGCCTCCCAGTTCTCATTCCGGAGACAGCGCGTCAGGAACCGGAGACCTGGGTTCCAGGGCCCTCAGAATCAGTTCTCTGGTGGCCAGGTTAGCAAGCTGCCACATTCTATTGTCATATTTGTTTCCTTCCTCAGTATGAATTACATCAGCTTCGGGATTTGGGTAACAAAACGTCGTTATTATCAGCTATCATCATCTCCACTTCTTAGAGTCTGACCCACTTGCGATCAAGCACCCTGCGCCATGTAAAAAAAATTGTAATTAAAAGGTGTAATAAGATTAAAATTGATCTGTTTTATGTAAGATCAAGATTAATCCTAGTGTGATTTGTTCTTAGTAGAATATATCTGATGTTAACTTATAAATATGTTGATATTATAGGTTGACGACACCCGCGGTGGGAGTCAGTACTACTTCTCCTGGAGACACGACAATGGCAGGAAGTACACCGGCGGACAGGCTCACGGCTTGTGTACAAGTCTGGGCGGCGGGTGGCAGCCTGTAGGCATCAGCTCCCGTGACGAGCTCCAGTACATCAACAGCATTGTTGGCTCAAGTTAGTTCTCGTTGCCTCTGTTAGTGTTTCCACACAGTGTGAGTGTATGTGTGTGACTCAGTATGCTATGTCGTCGGCTCACAACCGTTCATCCCAGCAGTAAACAGGTACCTTTTGGTATCTATTTACTGCTGTTGGTTGTAGCCTGGAGGAGATTAGTACTTGGTCTAGGGGCACCTCAGCAAGTCTTGCAGGCTTCCTGTCCCCGACTATAGACAACAAATATACATATGAAACGCATGACTTTCGTTTGGTGTTGGGTATAAAGGTTATCAACCTCTGGAAGGTTATTAAGGCAACGCAATAACTGACCAACCAGCAAGAATACTTTCGTCCTGGACATAGTCTGAGGGCTGAACTCTCAGAGTGCATACACCAAGAAGCGACATATACAGCTCTGTGTATATGTCCCGGTTAGGTACTCCCTTTCGTATTTAACCTGTATTCCGTCTTCGATTTTTGTACATTTTTTACAATTTATGAATTGCAGGTTAATACAGCATGCGACACATACTATGCACACAAATACACAGCACATATAACTGGATGAGGTTCTGAGAGTTCTACTCCCCAAGCCCGGCCCGAGGCCAAGCTGGACTTGTCGGGAGTTTGGTCCAACAGGCTGTTGGTTGGAGCGACCTGTAGGCCCACATATCCATATCTCAACCCGGTTGATCCAGCATTTCTCGTGGAAAAACAAAAACAAAAGCACTTTTTTTGTAAGACATCCTATGTTTCATATACAAAACATACGACGTACTACTGAACAAAGCCTGTAAAACCCATTGATCCTTTACCAGTGATTTTGTTTATAGATGAACATTTTTTTTTAGTTTCATTTCCCATTTACGAATTAATATGCATTTGTTTTGCTTGAACAGACCGGCTGGAGTACATCTGGACCGGCGGGGTGAGAGATCGCGCCGGCTTCAGGTGGCTCAACGGAGAACCTTTTAACGTTGTTGGCTGGTCACACACCGGAGGGTGAGTTGAATATACGCACTTGCGTATTCAAACACACATTCATATATGTACGCACTAGATATGCTACATAAGTAGACACAAGAACACGTACATATCGCATACGAGGCAATATACAAGCATTACATTTAATACTCTTGTATTGCATCGGAATGTTTACACCAGAGCTTCAGGCAGCTCTTAGCTCCTGTCAGACGTATACATAAGATACACTGTAGAAAGTGTAGATAAGTATGCCATGAGTGATGGAAGTATATGTGTGTTGCAGAGCTAATCGACCTCAGCCCGACAACCGTGAGAACGGTCAAGAGAACTGCCTGGCCGTCCTCAATAACTTCTACGGTGATGGCGTCACGTGGCACGACGTGGGCTGCCACCACACAAAGGCCGTCATCTGCGAACGTCGTGCATAAATACCACAATAAACCACCTCTCTTTCCCTCTACCACTTGGACTGGACGGTAGAGCGACGATCTCGCTTCATGCAGGTCGGCGTTCAAGCCCAGACCGTCCAAGTGGTTGGGGCACCATTCCTTCCCTACCCTGTCCCATCCCAAATCCTTATCCTGACCCTTTTCAAGTGCTACATAGTCGGTAACCAGACCACACACTAGAATGTGAAGGGACGACGACGTTTCGGTCCGTCCTGGACCATTCTCAAGTCGATTGTGAGCTACATAGTCGTAATAACTTGGCGCTTTCCACTGATAATTCTATTCCCCTCTCGCTCTCTCACACAGACTCTTCCCTTATTGAAACCTGTCATCTGAAGGAACAGGAATTTCTTTTTCATTATCTCTTGCCAATTCAGAAAAAACTTGTTGTTTCTAACTCTCACGTTTTAACACAATCATCCTTCTGCGAGTCTGTCCCAGTAATGGCGTGTCCTGTACACTCTTCTCGTCATAAGTTATCGTTAATCTTTGCTATGTGTTAATGGGAACGTCAAGGGATATACCAGAAGTTAACTTGAAGCTTTCTATATCTTTTCTCTAAAGTTGTAGCACAATGGCATGAGACGAAGAGATATCAAGATCCAGAGTTAACAAAAAAAGAGCTCTCAATTATTTTATTGGGGATTATCCCACGTTTATTTGTTATTTTCTACAAGTGATTTAATATATTTATTTTTCCAGAACATTCTTTATGTCAACTAACCTGTTACCGTTGGCAAGATAAATATATAAATTGGATGAAACGTTGAGGTGTTTTTGTTTTTTGTTCCTTTTTTGTATCCATTGTCCTGATGAGTTCTATTGCCACGATGAGTGTATTGTGTCTGCTGTTGCCATGATGAGTGTGAGTATTGTCTCTACTGTTGCCATGATGAGTATGAGTACAGTCTCTACTGTTGCCATGATGAGTATGAGTACAGTCTCTACTGTTGCCAGGGTGAGGGAGCACTTATGTTGCCATAACATGCGCATGCGTGTTCTCTACTGTCATGGCAAGTCCTTGCACCGTGTCTACAACTGTCAAGATGAACGTGGACTTATTTTACACTGTCTCACGAAGAGTGCAGCATATTAACCACTTGAATTCCACGAAGTTGAAACTTTCCTTTATAGAAAATAAAGGAGATTAATACATATTCTTAAGGACGACGAAGAGAGAAGGCTGAGACAATTGAAGTATATAAAAGGAATGAAAAATGGACGTAAATAAAGTTATATATACCAGCACAAAATGATGAACATACAAGTTAGATAAGTTCAGTTCAGGAAAGTCCTGGTTAGGTTAGGAAACAGGGTTGTTGATTTGTGGAACTACTGAGTAACTTAATAGACGTGAGATTGTAGGATTAATCATATAGATATATGTGAATCACGCTATTATCAGTCACAATTAGGAAGGATTTCAGAAGCAGCTAACTGCTGCCCAACTGGAACTTTAAGCCTTCTCTTGGGCTGTCACTCAAGCATGGAGGAATTAGGTGATCCACGCCCAAGTCATTTAACTTGTCACCTCACAATAAACTTAGGTAATTACATTTCATTCACTTGGGCCCCTAGCGTGGTTGATAAAGTCTCCCGTTCTGGGGTGGGGCGGAGGTTCGAGGCTCCTAGGATTCAAGGGAGTGAAATGTTATTACCCACAAATGTTATTGTGGGTAACCGCTGTAAACTAAACAGATGTTCAGTGCACACTGTCACTCATTACGACTCATTAGTCATACTTGTTGTTAATCTTTGACTTGTCACTCACTAGAATGTATTATGTTAAGAGGAGAACTTAGGAGAACAAGAGGAGGACTTAGCACTCTAGCTCTCTGTATGCTATGAACACTAACTTAGCACTCTAGCTCGCTGTATGCTATGAACACTAACTTAGCACTCTAGCTCTCTGTATGCTATGAACAGTAACTTAGCACTCTAGCTCTCTGTATGCTATGAACAGTAACTTAGCATTCTAGCTCTCTGAATGCTATGAACAGTAACTTAACATTCTAGCTCTCTGAATGCTATGAACACTAACTTAGCATTCTAGCTCTCTGAATGCTATGAACACTAACTTAGCATTCTAGCTCTCTGAATGCTATGAACACTAACTTAGCATTCTAGCTCTCTGAATGCTATGAACACTAACTTAGCATTCTAGCTCTCTGAATGCTATGAACAGTAACTTAGCATTCTAGCTCTCTGAATGCTATGAACAGTAACTTAGTTAATTACGACAGAGAGCTAGAGTGCTAAGCAAACACCCATCCACTGTGTCAAGAGTTAAGACTTAGCAACTCTGCCACAGATAACTCCAATGTCAGTTTGCTTCTGTGATGACAGAAGGTTATAGCTGACAAACATCTCTGCCGTGCAGCCACCTTGCTATACACAGGTGTGTTACACCATCACACACCTGTGATGCTTAATCAATCGTGTTTAATCAATCATCAACACCTGTATCACTGAAGGCTTGCACCTACATGGTGGACGGAGTGGGAGACAGCTTGACAATTAAGACTCAGTGCTGTAGACACCACCACCAAGAAGAGGAAGGGAGAACTTTGATTAGAAAATTAAGAGGAAGAAATACGGTTGTTTATAATTACTGGCCCGTGCCAGACAGGCTCACTGCAATAGGCTTGTTGACCCATGCTACACAGACTCAGGCAATGGTTTACACACGTGTATATCTGTCGGTGATGAGTCACAATAACGTGGCTAAAGTATGTTGACCAGACCACACACTAGAAGGTGAAGGGACGACGTTTCGGTCCGTCCTGGACCATTCTCAAGTCGATTGTGACTTGAGAATGGTCCAGGACGGACCGAAACGTCGTCGTCCCTTCACCTTCTAGTGTGTGGTCTGGTCAACGTATATCTGTCCTATTTGTAAATAAAAGCTTTTGCTTCACACGAAATTATGTTTTACATGTCACTTTGTCTTAATAGTGCTGTTGAATAAGCAGAATATAAGCATGTAAATAATTATGAAGTCACCGCGCGAGATACACTAGTAACGAAGCTGTTCAGCCGGGAACCAAAAATGATGAGAGCTTATAATGTGTCAGGTGGAAAGGGCGGAGTCTGGGAGCACTAAAGAAAGTAGCGATATATATAAGTCCGGATCCGCGTCCCGCCAAGCACTTCTACCGTTGCTAAGGTAGGTGTTGGACGGACGGCACGCGACCTCCTCCTCCCGCCACTGTGTACACAAACACTTCCTGGTGTCTTCCTCTCTCAGTCTGTAACGTATATAAAGGAACTCACTGGTTCGTAGACGACACGGCGAGACATCTCCCGTCACGCAGGGTGCAGTCGCACCTCCACAGATCTCCAGTATCAGCTCTTGATACTGGTAATGGCTCAAAAGGGCCACCACTTAGGGCTATTCAAGCCCGTGCCACCTTTTGGGTGGCTTAATCTTTATCAATCAATCAATCTTCGTAGACGACACGGGAGACATCTCCCGTCACGCAGGGTGCAGTCGCATCTCCACAGATCTCCAGTATCAGCTCTTGATACTGGTAATGGCTCAAAAGGGCCACCACTTACGGGCTATTCAAGCCCCGTGCCACCTTTTGGGTGGCTTAATCTTAATCAATCAATTCGTAGACGAGTGGAAGGGGCTGATAAGGAAATAAGCTTGTTTCTCATAAGGCCAGTCAGCTCATCTTTAATGTTTTTTGTGATCTTTCGAAGCCCTCAGTATTTATTATACATATTCATTTGTATATTATTTTAAGTCACCATAATTCCTCAGTGTATCACTATGTATACTTGCGTGTATGTGGCTAATTGTAGTCAAGCATTACTACCATCTGTCAACGGTCCTGTGGCAAAAAGACACTTAACGTTCACTGACTTTTTGTCATACAACACTACTTATGTGCATACAACACTACCTTTGTGCCATACAACACTGCCTTTGTGCCATACAACACTACGTGTCATACAGATTGCCAAACATCCCTTAAGTTATATAGATCAACATGCAATCCTGGTGTTCCACAGACCACTGTGCCTCCTTACTGTTACATAGACCAGCACGTTTCGTAGTGAAATAGAGAATATTATGTCGTCCTCGTCGTACACAAAGTATTAAACACTATAGCTGCTTAACTCCATGCACACTATCACAACTTTTTTCCACCGTTCAAATTGTAACTATCTTCTCATGTCTTGTAATTCATGTTGAAATAACTGTCTTCAACTCTGCGGTCATGTATAAGATCTTCCGTGTGGTGGCAGTCGATTGTAGCTCAGTCGATTAAGGCAGTGTCTGGGATGCTCCCGGACGCAGGTTCAAATCCTCGTCACGGCCCTTGTGGATTTGTTCGTGTGAGATCTTCCGTGTATTTGTGATACCTCTCTCATCTCCTTTCTAGAAAAGAGATGATTAATATCCTTCAATCTTTACGATTAAGGAGTTAATTCTTTGAAAGCTTTGAGACGGTCCCAATACTTTAGGTGCTGTATCGAGTCTGTCTCTGATGTATTTCAGAAAAGGTTCCTGCTTTGAAAGGGGGGATGTGAGCATCATGCTGTGCTCAAGGAGGAAAAGCACAAGTGATTTCAATAGTAGGAGTGTTGTGGTGGGATCTCTAGACTTAAAGGATCTCAAAATCTACCTTATTATTTCCTTGTTTGATGCTATATTTGTTGTGGTGTGCTCACTAAACGTTTAACATCAGTATTCCCCTGATCCTTTAAATCAGCGGTTCTCAACCTTTTTTTTGCCCTTGAAATAATATCCGAGTAGTATTTTAAATACACAAAGATTTCATGTTCAATTGAAACGAGACCATTTCTGTCCTTGCTCTTGATTCTGGTTAAATGAGCACAAAATTTATTAAAAAAAAAATTCATTTGCACATGATTAGAATTAGCCTACGTATCTCTCTTTCTCTTGAGGAACCTCTAGTTAACCTGTGGTTCATGAATCACGGGTTACGAACCCTTGTGTTCAATATTATTTTCCTTCTGTGAGATCTGATGGCGTCTTGTACCTTGTATTCCTGTTCACTATCTGGAATGTGTCCCTGTTAAACATTTTTATCTCTTGTTGCCAAAACGAGG